AACTTTGGAACCTTTTGATTGCTATTTGCAATAGAGCTTCTCCAACAGTATCTATGCATTACTCAAAGGAAGAATTTCTGATTTCAAACACACTATTCAGAATTGACTGCCTCTCATATTCAAGGATCGAGGTAAGCTCTATATTCAATATATACTTTTAGTGAAAACTATAGTCCATACAAAAGTAATAATAACATAAGTCCTGAGTTTTTGAGCACAAATAGAAGGGTTTTTGAATGTTTTTCTAAAGCACTTTAGTGAAAATGTTATATATATATTAAAATTCCATTACTAGAGAGTTTAATGAGATTAATGAAACATTAGCATCCTGCCATCTAAAAATATTAACAAATTATATAGCTGAGGCTTTGGTTAGGTGGGCCTTTGAATTTGTTTACCATCAGGGAGCCTCTCATTGAAGGTAACAAATAAACAGACTAAAATGACCTTTCCTTAAACTAAATGGGCATCTTTGGTCATCAGTGTTAATTTTTTTCGTATATGTAGGTCTTCTTCTGTCCTGAAGATTTGATAGGAATCTGCAACCATGGTCGAGGAAAACCTCCAAGATAAAAATTGTAAGACTTTTAGTAAGATTAGAATTTCATTTTAACATCCCCCCATATCCCATAATCTGATCTTAATATTATTGGCCCATCTGCCCATGTAGACAGTGATGCAGGTAAAAGGAATGGCTTCTGATTAGGAATGAAACAGGGTTTAAATATCAAATCTTGAATCTTCTTCAGACTAGCTTTGAAATTATAGAATATCACTGACTTCATAAATAATCCATTGCCTTCATTGGCAAATAATAAATTATAAAAATACCTACTTTACACACACACACAGAGTCACATGCATATTTATATACAAAGCTCTTTTCATATGTTGTGATACTAGAAGTGGTTTGACAAACATCAGTCCTTATGGTCTAGGTTTGTCAGGTGTAGTTGTGCATGAAGCAGGAGGAGAATAATAGGAAATAGAAGTTGGCAGAAGATGGAGATACTTCTTTTTTTTTTAAGAGAGAGAGAGAGAGAGAGAGAATTTTTTAATATTTATTTTTTAGTTTTCAGCGGGCACAACATCTTTGCTTGTATGTGGTGCTGAGGATCAAACCCAGGCCGCACGCATGCCAGGCGAGCGCGCTACCACTTGAGCCACATCCCAGCC